GTTGGCTCTGCGTGTTCCAGACCTTTGGGTCTCGGGGCTGTTGCGGTTACAGTGCTTTAAGGTGGTTCTTGGGTGCACAACTAGCAAAACAAAGCGTCTCGAGGAAACCCAGCGTGTCAAGGATGATTACATCCCCTCCAGGAAAACATCGTGGTTTGTTCAAGTGTAAATGCCAAACCCACACCCCGAGGAGCCTCTCTGCTCCTGCCCTGGCTCTGCCTCCTCTGCCGGACGATGGGCTGCGGCGTCCCCTGGCTCAGCGAGCAGATGCTTCTTGCCCACTGGAATTTGGGGGATGCCTGAGGCTTAGACCCAGGAGGGTTTCCAAAAGCCGGGCATGCTTTTTCCAGGGTTGATCCTGTTAAGCATTGCCCGAGTCTCCTGCCTGTCAGCAGAATGAGCCATGCAAGGGGCAGCAGTAGTATTTCACCGTGTTCAGGCTCCTGCTCCCAGCTCGGGCAGGGAGGGCAGGACGTGACCCCCGTCCCTCCTACCTCGCTGGGGGCTGTTGGTTTGGGCGGCTGGCAGTCAGGCAGCAGGCTGGGTGCAAGCCAGAGCCTGGGGTGCCCTGGCCCTGGTGTAGGAAGGGCAAGTGTGTGATGGCTTCTGCTAGCCTGGGCTTGTTTCACCCACTTGCCTTGTGTTTGGTTTCAGGTTGGCGATAAGGTAATGGTCCTGGCTAGGTCAGGGCTCTGGCAAGAAGTGGTGAACGTGCCAGCCAGTCAGACTTTCCTGATGCCCGAGGGGATGAGCTTTGAGGAAGCAGCTGCTCTTCTTGTCAACTACATCACTGCCTACATGATTCTGTTTGACTTTGGGAACCTGAGGCCCAACCAGAGTGTCCTCATCCATATGGCTGCAGGTAAATCCTTCTCGCCAGCCTCTGCCGAGGCTCTTGGCCTCCACATCCGGGTGGCAGGGGATGGGAAGCAATCGGAACGCGGCTGGGCTGACAACGTGTCGCCCACCAGAGGTGCGGGCTCTGTGCTGACCCAGGCACTGGCAAATGCTGAACCCATTTCCCAGCAGCCGGGGTTGGTCCCCCCTGGAGTGTCACAGGATCAGCCTTCCCCAGGCAAAGCCTTTATTCCATACCCTCCCAGCCCTGTGGGATCGATACAGGCAGGGATAATTGACCTATCCAGAGGCTTTTCTGACTGCTGGGGCTGTTTGCTTCTCAGTGTGTCTCACTGGTTTTCAGGTGGTGTGGGAACTGCTGCCATCCAGCTGTGCAAGACTGTAGAAAACGTCACCATTTTTGGCACAGCATCTGCCTCCAAGCATGATTCGCTCAAGGAGGGTGGAGTCGCTCACCCCATTGACTACAGAACGATGGATTACGCAGAGGAGGTCCGGAAAATCTCTCCCAAAGGTACAGTGTGGTGGGGGACTGCTCCAGCCCTTCCGCCCTTCTTTCAGCCGCAAGGAAACCCCTGGTTACTATCCATTCCCTCTAGGTGTTGACATTGTCCTGGACCCCCTGGGAGGATCCGATACATCCAAAGCATTTAACCTCTTGAAGCCGATGGGCAAACTCATCACTTACGGTAAGTGTGAGCAGCGTGTGCGAAGCCCAGCTCCTGCGTAGGGGGGAACGTGTGACGGCGGCGTGGGCATGGATCTGCCCAGGGATGCTCCGCACGGCTCCGAGCCTGGACGCGCGGCGCGCGGGAGCATCGCTGGCCGCTGTGTCGTGGGTCTGTTACCTCGCAGAGGTCTGTAGGTCGCTTTGCTGGGTGAGGCACTGAGGAGTGAGATTTGTGCCTTGTCCCGAGGGCTCTGGTCGCAGGCTCCAAGTCTCTTCCCTCCCGTGGTGAGATCTCTCCCCGAGTACGAGCCGGTGCCTGCAGGGGAAGCTGGAATGTCCTCACGGAGGAATGCTGGCACAGCTGCCTTGTCCAGGCTGACTTAATGCACAGCACTGATAGAGCCTTGCTTTTCTTCTGGAGGATGTGTGGGTGATGAGGCTTGAGGCTACTGAATACTTATCTCTCCATTCCCCGGCCCTAAACACTGTGGGTTTTGTCCTGAAGACAAAGCCCTCACACAGCCCCCAGTGGGATTCCAGACACTTGCACCAGTGTGCTGCTGCTGTTGTCCCAGCCGTGGCAGCGTGGGGCTCCCCTGGAGCAGCCTGGCTGTCGGAGAAGGGGGTGCTGTCCTGCCTGGCTGGATGCGACTTGTCACCCTCTTGCCTCTGCCAGCAGCCAGTCTGGCTGCGCTGCTGCTGCCCTCCCGGGAGGAGCTGGTCTGTAGTTTTGCAGTATATGGGTGCTGATGACCCAAATTCTGCGTATCTGGAGGCTGGGGCAGGTACCCGTTTGGCTGAAGGTCAGCCGGGCAGATCCTGATGTGATCCAGCCCTTCGCTGCGTGAGCGGCTGTTACCTGGCGTGTTGTCTGAGCTGTTGGGTGGGTGCCCGCTGCCTCTGGTGTTGATTCCAGCTCACCTGTGCCTTGTCTTCCTGCTAGGGGTGGCAAACCTGCTCACTGGGCAGAGGAAGAACCTCATGGCTATGGCTAAGACCTGGTGGAACCAGTTCAGCATCAACGCCCTGCAGCTCCTACACCATAACAAGGCTGTGTGTGGCTACCATCTCGGCTACATGGATGAAGAGGTTGAGCTCGTCAGAGGTGTTGTAGCCAAGCTGGTTAGCCTGTACAGCCAAGGCAAAATCAAGCCCAAAATAGACTCTGTATGGCCCTTTGATCAGGTGAGTCTCAGCTGACGCAGGCTGGCAGCTCTCAGACCGCTGGGCAGTTGTTGTCCGCGTGCAGAGCGAGCTCGGAATCGGGGCGAGCACCTCGTTCGTGGGGGCTGACGTGCTGCCCGTGGTCAATGAGCATCTGTTCTCAGACACCCGCTGCCCTTTTCCTTTGAAGACATTAAGGGGGGGCGAAGTGTCTGGGCTCTTCTGCTCCAGTGCGCAGAGCTGGGCGATGCCAGACAGCGTCCCTGCGGAACAGGGCAGGGGCTCAGCTGTGCTCTGTGAGCAGCAGCAGCTCGTGGAGGAGCTGGGCATCCGGCTGGAGCCTGCCCCAATCTGCTCCCTGCGATTAAGCAGGCGGGATGGGTGCTGCTGCCCTTCCATGAGCCCAGGCGGTGAAGCCGAAGGAGGATGCTGGAAGGGAACGGCAGGTTTTTCAGCAGCTCTGCGCTGCTCTGCTCGCTGTTGTTGCATTGATGTGTCCAGGCAGAGCCAGGTTCTTCCCTGGGAAACCCTTTGCTGGGGTAGGACTTGCTGCAGGGGAGCCCAGGACTTGGTAATGATCCGTTGGTGTTAGTACCCGAGAACTAGTCTGATGCAAATGCTTAAGGAAAACTGTCAATTCCAGGCCTGGCCCAGGTGCTGTTTTGGTTAAAAGTGATGAAACCCTGTGCATGGCTTGTTCTGTGGGGATGGCAGAAGCATCGTCCTGGCCATGGGCTGGGTTTCTGCAGTGCCCCCCTCTTTGGGGAGGAAGCTGTGGCGATGCACACTCCGCTCCTCTGCGGTTTGGGTAGCAGAGCATCCTCGTGGTCTGTGAACTCTCCGTTTCCCGTGGGCAGGCTGGGGTAGCAGCCTGACTGTCCAAAATGCGTCTGTGCAGAAGCACCCAAGTGCTTGGTGCTTCTTGGGCTGCCGGGAAAGCTGCCTTCTGGGTGGTCGGGGGGGCAGGGAGGGCCCGACTGCGCTGCGGGGTGGGGCTCACGAGACCCCTGTTGCTTCCAGGTGGCAGATGCCATGAGGCAGATGCAAGAGAAGAAGAATGTTGGGAAGGTCATCCTGGTTCCTGAAGCACCCAAGGAAGAATCCAAAAAAGAAGAGAACTAAGGAGGAGAGATGTGTGCGGATTGTGAATTCATGGCTTAACGCCCTGATCTCTTTGGGACCCGGAAATGGACAGATCAGTAGCTTCCACCCTCACCAGTACGAGAACGTCGTGGTTGAGTTCAGATAAGGTTTGCATGCTCTTGCTGTGGGTCACCCCCTGCCTCCTGCCCTAGCTCTCTGGCTCAAAGCCTGCAGTTTTGTACATCTTTCCAATCACTTGTTTCTCTCCTGAATTTCCAAACTAACCTCACTCTTCTCTGGCAGAGCAGCTGGACTCTCGGGCAGTGGGTGATTGACAACTGCGTAGCCTGTCACTGTGAAGTTGAGGTGACACTGTGGCACCTGCCAAGGGTCTCCACAGAAACCGAGCCTCGCTGAAGCATTGGCACTGTCCCCTTTGAGAAGCTTTTCAGCAGAAGGGGCCAGACTTGGGACGTTTCCTCAACAGCCAGAGGAAAAGCAGGGCTGGCCCAGTTTAATTCCAGCATAGGCTACTCTTCCATTTACACTAACCACGCTCTGTCCCTCTGCTTTCCTAGGCCTCTAACACAGTCAGGTAGTCACCATCATGTCTTTGCCCTGTAAGTAACCATCCTGGCGTTTTGGAGCCTGTGGCATGTTGCACTTGCGGTCACTTCTCTGTGCAGCTGGCAGATAACCTGACAGACTGGGCTGGTCCGTGTCTGAATACGGAAGAAAAGTTTCATTTAGGTGACCTGATCTTGTCCATTTTCTGATTCCAAACTGTACAGGGAGATCTAAACTGTGTCTGATTTTTTTTTTTTTAGAGACCATAAGGACTCAACTGTGTCTTGAGTGACTGGAACAATTGATGTTGGCTCTGTGCTTTGTTATGTTGGGCTCCAAGTTGGTATTGTTAAGGCTAAACTTCACCCTCGTGTTTGTATTTCCAAGGGCTGCAGTGTTGAATCGGGCGTCAGCAGGACGGGAACAAACAAGCCCCGGTTAATGCTTGCTGTGTGCTGGGGAGGTGCTGCTGTTTGGGAAGCGACTGGCAAGAGCCAGTCCTGTGAGCCTGCTTCCCAGGAGCCTGCCCGGCTCCCTGCGGCATTGCCGCTCGGCAGAGGTGCCACCAAGCTACCAGTGCAGATGGTGAATGTCCAGCTCTGGGTCTGGCCCCTGGCCTGGGCGCCCTGAGCAGTTCAGTTGTGCTTTCCATTCTCTCTGGTGAGCGTGTTAGACACCCGCTCAGCCCAGCTCTCACCGGGTTCAGCACTGCAGGGCTTGGCTCTTCTGCCCTGAACCTGTGTCTTGGGAGCCCGGGGCTCTCTGCCAGCACTGAGGGTGTAGAGCTAGAGCTAGGGTGTAAGGGTCTAGAGCTGTGTGCCCTTCTCCCAGGCCAGAATTCCGTTTCTCTTCCTCTTTTCTTTCTTCTGTGCATTTGGAAACGCAGCTCTTCGGAGACCCAAGCCTAGTTCTGTGAGCACTTCAAGTCCTGGGTGGTGCCCCCCTTCCTGCTGGACCCCGTTTTCAGCCCCGAGTGACTGGTGCTGTCTGTGCTTGCTTCCAGGCTTTCTCATGGATTGTAGGTCTGTGGGCGTTCAGCTTCATTTTGAATTTGAAAAGGCAAACCTGAGGGCCAAGACGAGCTGCCCATCCTGGCAGAGCGCAGGAGCAAAGCTGTGCTGCCGGGAGTCCCAAACCCCAGGGAGGGAAGGCGTCTGCTGGGCGAGGGGCCCTGCAGGCAAAGCCCCTCCGGCTCGAGAGCAGCCGAGCCCTGCGCAGGGCTGGTGGTGTGGGCGGGTGGGAAGCATGGCCTCCTCCTCGGCCAGCTCTAGCAGCAGGCTCCCACCCGTCGGGGCAGCCTCAGGTGCCCGGGCTCAGTCCCTCGTTCCGCTGCCTCTTAGACACACGTAGGCACAGCCCACGGGGCCTGGCCCTGGGTAATGTTAAGTGTTAAACCCACCCCATTCCCCACTGCCCCGGGGGAGGGCTGGAGCCCTGTCACAGATCCCTGTTAGTCCATCTCTCAGTCCATCTCTCGCACTGGATATGTGAACTCCATAAACATGGTCTGATGAAACGCACAAGCACAACCTTTGACCTTTCTGAATCCAAAATCTTGCTGCTTCTCCTTCCGGCGTGCCCTGTCATGCTGATATAGCTTAAAACCAACAGTGTCTAATGCTGCTTTACCAGGTCTGACAACAGGACTCTAAATTGCTGAAATGCGAAGTCTGGACCTCTTCCTCCAAGAAAGTGGACTTGATGAAAGAGCGGTGTGCTGAGGTGGTACACAGCCCTGCCCATCTTCAGCTTCTGCACATTGGCGGGGGGAGAACTACCACGCTGCGTTCCACAGTAACATCCTCTCCTGGCTTTTCTCTCGGCTCCGCGCGTGCTCGGTGCCTTACACGCGTGGCCGTGGCGCGGGCGGTGTGGCACGGCCCTCGCAGTCTGTGAAGGAGGAACGTGGGAGCCTTGCAGCTTCCCGTAGGACACCCCTGGCACGCTGCCTTGGGGGATGCCGCAGCAAACTGTCTCAGTGCCTTCTTCTCCGTGCCTCTAAGGACTAGGAAGTCACTGGAGCCTTTTCCATTCTGGCCTTCCAAAGCATTGCCAAAAACCTGTTAGGACTCTTGTAGCTCTGCTCTGTGAACACTGGTGGTGCAGTCTGACCTGCCGTGAATGTGACTCTCCCTTTCCCTGTCTCGCAGCCTTCCCAGGGCCGTCCCGGCGGTCCTGTGCCCCCAGCCCAGCAGAGCCATCGCAGAGCCCTTGTCTGGCCCCGGGCAGCTGCTTGGCTCCAGCCAGTGCTCCCGTGAGGCCTTATCTGCTGCCTCGGCTCTCTGGAGACAGCTGGCTCCCAGCTCCTTGGGAGCTGCTCCTGTATCTTCTACCTGCAAATTCCAGAAGCCCTTATCGGGCAGGAGTGCTAAGCAGCCGCTCTCTGGGGGGGTTTAGCACTGACTGGTTTGTGTCCCTTGGTAGCAACAACATTTTCCACAGAAGGAGCGAGGTGGAATGTGACCTTGCTCGGTCGCTATCAGTGCTCTGCTCTGGTGCTTGTGGTTTGGGTTTGCTGGGGTTTTGTTCCTTTTTTTTCTTCTACAGACAAACTTTTTACAGGCCGATATGCATAGAACCACTGTAAAACAACGTCAAGTGTCTTAACTCAGTAGTGTTAACCAGCAGGTTTGTACACTAAGGACCAAAGCGAAAAACCAAACCCCTGGGATAAAAAATCATTCCGCTCAGTGTTGCTTCGCAGTTTGGGGCAGGTCGAGCTGTCGCGGAAGCGGGAGATTCCTGTGCGTAACCTGTGCGTGCCGTTCCAGCTCTCCAAGTGCAATTTAACGCTGATTTTTACCGATTGTCTGACCCGAAGGTCGTGCGTGAGGAGTCCAGGAGAAAGCGTGGGGAGTTTGGGAGCAGAGAAGCGTCCCCGGCTGTGCCCACTGCCGCGGGGGCTGCCCGGCGCGGGGCTGCCGGTGCCGCTCCTGTCTCGTTACTGGTCGCCTTCCCGGGCTGGTACTGCTGTCCTCGGACAAAGCTCCGTTGCCATCACCAGGAGCTTTTGTCAGGGGTTGGCCGGTTCCTCCCGAGCTGTTGGCGTGTGCTGGTGGGGGGCAGCGGCCGCCGCTCGCGCGGCGC